CCCTCAGTAACTACTGATAAATCTGCTTGGAATGCCGATGATGGAGCCTGGAATAGTTTTCACGGAAAAAAGGCTGATGGTTCGGCCACCACTAATCATTATGATTGGGACGATAGAATAAAAACTTTTTACGCTGCTACTTACCAAGACAATCTTTATAAAGTAAAAGGGGAAAGTTTTCACATTACGGAAGATGAAGCGATAAAATTATTAAGCCGCATAATTTATGAATTAGGCCGAATAAAAAAAGCTGATTTTGCTGCTAAACATGGTTTGACCGGTGCTGATAAAACCGCTATTGAAGCCCAATTAGATAGATTAATAGAACAATCAACCGCTATTAAAGAGATGAACGAAAAAGGGGCCAGTAGCAAAGATTTGGCCAAAAAAACTTGAGATTTACCGCAAACTTATAGTAAAGAAATAGCCATCGGCACTAATACTCCTCGGGTAGCCAATCCTTTCAACTTCAACGATTTAGATTTTGTGGCCAAATTAAATGATACTTTGGTTAATAATTTGGATCAGAGTGATATCACTCAGACAGAAGAATGAACCCTAAATAAGTCAGGTGATGCTTATACTGAAGAAGAATTGGCTGATTATGGAATAACAGTCTCTGACAGTTCCAAGACTACTCTTTACAAATCAACTAAAAAAGTAGGGGATGAATGAGTAAAAGCTGGGGAACACAAAGTAAAAGTAGAAAATGGCCTAAAAGGATGAGTTGAATTATTTAAATTGGTTTTTGAGGATGCCGATAACCAGGCTAAAATAAAGTCTTCTTTTTCGACTACTCCTAATCCGGTGCAACAATTATTTACCGATTTAAGAAGTCAAGGGGCAGTAGATGCCAACTTCAGCACTCACTATCGTTTACCCGAAAGTAGTGATGCCCTGGATGATTTAATTGCTCAGTTAGAGGCTGATAAAACTGTGAGTGCGGTGACTAATGCCGATTTGGCTAAGGAAATCCAGGAACTTAAAAAAGAAATTGCTGAAAAAGAGAGTGAGATAATTAGTAAAAAAAGTGTGTTGGATGGTTTAGTTGGGGAAATTTTGACTAAAAAACGAGAAAAGTTGAATTCTTATAATATTGCTAAAGGTTTTGCTAAAACTTCCACCGAAGAAAATCGTCGGGAAGTAATGGAATTAGTCAATATTAACCAACTACTTTTAACAATCAGATATCTAGAAAATGATGGAGATGCTACTTCGCCCAGCACAGTAGACGCTGAAAATACCGCCCTAACTGAAAT